AGTTTTCATCGAACTTTGTCTATTTTATACATTTTTATATCCATTTTAATCAATCATTAGAAATACAACATTTGAGATTTTCTTAAAAGTTAACCACTGTTTCATTTGGCGTTAAATTTTCCTATATTTCCGCTACAATCATCTGCCCATTTTAAATTTCAACGGTCTTTATAACTATTAAATTATAAAACTATTTTAGAGGCGTAATATTCTTTTTAAAATAAAACAATTTCTACTGTCCTTACTGCGATGGAAAAATTAAAGGGAGGGCCTGGCTCATCAGTGGTGAATTTTTCCATCGCAGTAAGGACAGTAGAAATTGTTTTATTTTAAAAAGAATATTACGCCTCTAAAATAGTTTTATAATTTGATAACAGATGGCGCTCTAGTACATCGTAACTTTATAACTATTGTTTTAAATATTATTTTTAAGGTTGAATTAAGACATCACACAAGTTATTATTCTGGTTAGCTATGCAACCACATATACACACATACATATTATATATTATCAGCCAAATTTGAATATATTTATTAATTTTCAATGGTAATATCAGTTAGTCTTGAATTAATATAGCCCATTTGAGGGAAGTACTAACTTAGACGATGTTACATTTGCACCTATAAGAATCAATTTTTAATAAAAGCACGGTTATGAAAATGGCTGAAAGTTAAGCTGGTAGGTATTTTGTAGCGACAATATTGGCAAGTAGCTCTGCAACTCCGGTCACAAGAAGCTCCATGGGACACCTGTCAATAATCCCTGGACTCCGGGGGTACCACAGGTGTGAAGGGTTCTCGGAATCTTATCGGCAAATAAGGAAAACGGGACGCCTCGGTGGCTGACGACGCTCATATTTATTATCTTCACCTGGGGATAAGTTGTGATATTATCTGACTCTCTCTCCCTATAAATACCTCTTGTATATAATTTTATTGGAGAACTAACAGGCAAATACCCTTTATAATAAATCAAATATTCCCAAATTTTCCCTTGCTTTATTTATCTCAGCGACAATATTATTGCGGCTCATCGCTTACTTTCAAATTGGATTATAATCAAATTCACTACCCTCGAATTACTATAGGAAAATTCTGCAAGCTTCGATTCAGTTACATGAGATTTGGTGTATAATTATGGTGTGTGTATAATTTGTTTGAGTAACCCCTTATCTCAATTTCTGTAGTGAGAATTACTTTATAGACTCAGGCCAAAAAATTGCACTAGAAAAAAGCACTAGATATATGGATACCTGAGGCAACCAAGCTAAACAACTAGTCACCTTCGTTCCAGTATATTTGGTCCGCGAATCATAACCAGGGCTAAAGGAGCAACAGGTGGAGCGTTCTAAAGCAGTCTTGAGCAAAGTCAAATTGAAGGTAAGATTTGTTTCTCCCAAGAAGTAGCAATTAGCCGACTAAAGCAAAGAATAGGGACTAGCGCTACCCAGTCTGGATCATTAGTCAACATTTCTGGAAATAGAATAGGGAGACTTTAAAAGTATAATTATTTCTATGAATAATATTAATGGCAATGATTTTCAGATATTTGAAGGTTTGTGAAGTCTGAATTGGAAAAGAACATAGCAAGAACCAGGTAGTTAAAATTTAGAGCGCAAGAGGAAGCTTACCAAACTCAACAGCTTCATTCAGTGATATCAGAAATGCCTGCTATCTATCAGTACATGTCATAGTCAGGCCAAGACTCGATGTCTTTCAGAATCCACTGATATATATGTATATTAAAAAACGAAATAAAAAAAATAAAAGATAAAAAGATCAGGTGTTGAAATCAATATAAAAATGGCATATCCTGTCCAGGAGCACATGTGCTTTACAGAAGGCAGAGCGCCATCTGGGTTGGCCAAATATCAGGGAACAGGCTAAATCAATGTTTAGTTGATTTCTGTTCCACCAGATGGCGCTCTGCATTCTGTAAAGCACATGTGCTCCTGGTCAGGATATGCCATTTTTTATATTGATTTCAACACCTGATCTTTTTATCTTTTTTTTTTTATTTCGTTTTTTAATGTGCTAAGCGTATTTCGGCAAGTTTGGCCTTAAATACCCATTTCTTGGTTTTTCGGGAAGCCATTGGGATCAAAAATTATTTTTGGTCGCAATGGTTCAGCCTACTCCACGCTGACGAGCGCCAAAAAGCGCGAAACGCGTTCGTGGATGGCTTTTCTTGATTTATCAAGAAATTGGGTTGGCCAAATATCAGGGAACAGGCTAAATCAATGTTTAGTTGATTTCTGTTCCACCAGATGGCGCTCTGCCTTCTGTAAAGCACATGTGCTCCTGGTCAGGATATGCCATTATATATATATATATATATGTCGTAAACCCGGGTAAGCCAACAAGTGAGTTGGAAGCAGTCGGGGTTGAGTAGCAAGGCTTGCAGAGTGGGAAGTCCGCACGGAACAGTAAGGACAAAGTTTGGGATCAAAAGGCGCTCTTCCAGTACGTCTCAAGTGGAACCAGGACCAGGGGAAAGTTGAGGATTAACAATGGAAATCTCGGCGTCCTGCATAAATCCGCGGGGGCAGAGAGGAGCCAAAACGGCAGCCACGAGGGCCGCCGTGAGATGACAACGGACCTAGTACTGAGCGGGCCTGTCCGAAATATCCACCCGAACCTAACTAACTGTCAACATCCGGACAAAAGCCTCTTTTTCTCCCTCTCCGGATCCCCGGGTATTGATTCTCATTGGTCAGTCTTATGTGTGTCATCCTCCCCTCCCCTGGGGTCCGGTGGCAAACTTGAGACAACTTGTTGCATCTGCTGAAATGCAATACTTCCTCTCTCGGCAAAGATATATAAGGCCTCCGCCCTAGCCAAAAATATAGTCACTCGATAGTCACTTCACCATCAGCAGAAGCCCTTGTCGGTTGTCACCAAGGTCCTCCTTATCCAACATGTAGACCAGTAAGAACTCTTTTATCTCCATCTTTCGCTCCTAGCTCAACTTTTATCTGTTCACGGAACTTTCCTAGTGCAACTGTGTCTTCGTTTTTTGTGTGGACATTCCCAAGCTTTCCACTCTGCCTCGACCACGACTGCCTGTACTCTGTGAGAACTGTTAAAGGTCTCCCAAGGTGCAGAGAGGTACTGGAAAACTCCCCATCCTGACTGTTCCTCTCGGTCAACACAGTATAGCGAGAGTTGACAGGATCGCACACCATAGATTAAGTCGACTGGATACCTCATCACAGTTTTAGTGGACAAGTACAACATCACAGATTTAGCCGACAGGATGACCAAAACGAAGAATGACACAACGAAGAAGGTAAGAAGACTGTCCAGATAAAAGCGAGAAAGAGCGAAGATGGAGGAACAAACCGGCCATTCCAACGAAACGACCAAGCAATCTCTCCCCAACAAGAGATATTTACGGAAGACACGCCGTCCCAAGGGACCTCCGCAGTGCCGCTAACACAGATCGCCAAGGAGCAAGCTGACCACCCCAAAGACAGAGCCGAATTCCCGCAAGTCATGGAAACCGAGCAGCGATGTGACGCAAACCCAGTGACAAGTTCCCCACCTTCGGTCTGACATCGACAATGCTTAAGGCGACAAGCTGCAACCAACTTTACAGAAGCTACATGCTTCTACAAGCCCTACATGGAGCGTTTTCCAACAACCAAAGACCAAGTTTCCTGTCTGAACAATCATCAACTGTAAGTTTAAAAAAAAAACCTACATAACTTTCTCCTCAAGCCCATAACCTAAATCCCCATAAATTTGTTTATTTTCACCTTAATCATTTTAAATTCAATTTTTAATTATTTTTTCATTCTTAATTCAAACTTTAGCTTTTTATATCATTTTAAATTCAATTTTCAAATATGCCACACTTTACTTTATTTTCACTCAAATTATAAATTTTAATTCATTACTTTTAATTTTCATGCAAACCAAACAAAAAAAATGTTTCGCCAATCACATATTTTTATCAACTTGTCTTTCCTAAATTCACCTAAAAATGGCATTATCAAAATCTACAACTTGAAAAAAATCATTATTTTTATTTTAAAAAAACTTATCATAATTCTAAACTTATTTTTGTTTTTCTTAAGATTTTATCTTTACACCAAAACTAGCCGAATGACCCGGGCAACGCCCGGGTTTTACCCGATTAAATGCTTTTATTCAAATACTATTCGTTATAATTATAAATTGGAGCCGTGGATGTCATTCTTGTATAATATATAAATGAGTTTTAAAAATTTTTTGTCATTCTTGTGAAACGTCCCGCTACAAACTTTGTGTCTGAGAAGCGATATTTTTATAAAGAGATGATCTGGCTTTGTATCTTCTGCTCGAATGAATGTTTTTCTGTTAGAATTTTGTTCCTGCATACTAAAAATGAACTGGCTTCACCCGTGGTCTCTGCTTTTTGGAATTTTTCCGGATATAATTTTGTATCTGATAATCAAATATGATACAGCAATATTGTCATGATCATTTTCTGACTAAAAAAAAACAACTATTTTTTCCCAGAACCTGTCAATTTCAAATTTTCTTGGCTAAAAATACGACAAATATATTTTCCAGATTTTTGTCTAGGTCCTGTTAAAACACGTTTTACATGTACATTAGGTCAGCTGATATTACCTCCCATCTTCACCGCTAGAGGCGCTGCTTGCGAGCGAAAGAGCAAATTTGCAAATAACTCGAAGAATATTCGGGATAGAGACCTGAAATATTCACTATAAGTTTTTCCAGATTCTACTATACATACTGCTAAAATTTCAGTCATATTATTTACGTATTTTACGTATATTACGTAAAAGCATTCCATTCACAAAAGCAAACGATGACAGAATTGATGACTCTGATACTTGTATATTTTAAACAGCCGAATGACCCGGGCAACGCCCGGGTTTTACCCGATTAAATGCTTTTATTCAAATACTATTCGTTACAATTATAAATTGGAGCCGTGGATGTCATTCTTGTATAATATATAAATGAGTTTTAATTTTTTTTTTTTTTAATGCATCGGCCGGGAATCGAACCCTGAGTGAAGTGAAAGTGCGACTTTCGACGTGGACACGCTTTGGGATGAGATGTGTCACAGGCATGAAGGCGTCTTTGGCCTGAAAAGTGAAAAAGTTTTGTGGTGCGCGGTGCTGTGACACGAAGTGGAAAATTTAAAAAAAGATATATTTTGATAATTTGAAACTCGTAAATTTGAATCTCTCGATAAAGTGAACATTTTTTCCCGGTCCCTGTGTGCCGTGTCATCCTGAATTTTGTCTTTCCTAATTTTCTACATTACAAAATCATCGTTTTATCTAGTGAACATATTTTCCCGGTCCCTTGAAAAATACGCGTGGCAGGCGATCATTCTACCACTGAACCACCGATGCTTATAAAAAAAATGGCCATATTTGGGTATTTATTCCATTCACAAAAGCAAACGGTGACAGAATTGTTGATTGATTGTTGATTGATGACTCTGATACTTGTATATTTTATACCAATATCTTAATCAATTCTTAAAATTTTACAAAAATCATTGTCATATCCATCATTTTATGATGTCCCAATATAAACAATATAAACGCCCCTATATTAAAATTATTTGTCACAATCAGGCCATTGCCCTTTTAACAAGGATCATTTTAGTTACCATAATCAATTATTTTTAAATATATGTATATATATTTTTACTTATCCCTAGTACACGTGGTACAGGCCATGATAATCATGGTGGGTAGTTAGCGACTGCTTTCTTTTTTTTTACTGTAAGCGCACCACATGTCTACACATGTGAAAGCAGTTCGACTTTGCACTTACAAATGTGCCAGAGCCCCGTTTGGGGACTTGCACTCGCTGGTGGGGTTGGACTTTTGCAAGAATCGGGGGCCATTGGAGCATTTTTTTTTTTTTAACAGAAAAAAGTGTCCAATGCGGGGATCGAACCCGGGTCGTAGTGGTCGTAAACCAAACGGTTTGACCAGCCTTCCACCGACCCCCCATTTTTAAATATAAATTAACATAGTTGAAACATTTTTTCCAGCTCTAGAACACCCTCACACATCACTCTCTCCAATTGGCAACAATTATTAGTGCGCGATTTCACAAAAAATCCAAATCTCGAGCCACACAAGCTCCACTTAGCTCTATATCGTCGCCACAATAAAAAATGTTCACATTAAGCGTGCCACATCCACTAACAGTCAAAAATATTCTCGATATGTGTCCGTACAACCACCCCCCATGACTAGTAAATTTGTTATTCATGGTGAAACAGGTTAGATTTTGTACCAAACAACGACTTCGCATGACACCTTTTCATTCACAATTTTCCACTTCGTGTCACAGCACCGCGCACCACAAAACTTTTTCACTTTTCAGGCCAAAGACGCCTTCATGCCTGTGACACATCTCATCCCAAAGCGTGTCCACGTCGAAAGTCGCACTTTCACTCACATCTAAACCTGACATCACCGAATAACATTTTTATTAAGTCCGCAACAACGTCGAAACTCCAAGACACGAACACCGAGAAAACCATATCTTTCTATTATACCAGAAAATTGCCAACCTCAACAAAAGAAGAAAGTCAGTTTCAAGTAAATGACAAAAATAACCAACACCCCGCACGAGTGACCCCCCAGTAATAGGATCTCCGAATCTATTTCAGTTACATATCCCCCGTCCAACGTCCTCCCTCCCTCACAAAGCTATCTTCTTGACCGCTATCTTCATGATCTCCATTTTAAACACATTTTTCACACTAACCATTTAGGTTTTCTCACAAATCTCACCAACGCCTTAATCACAACACAACATACATTAAACATTTTACATGTTAATTGATATCACCAATTAAAACAACTTGATTAAGTCTGATATAGACTTTATAACGCGAAAGAGAAATCATTCTCTACATACCAGCATTTTGTACAAACGAAAATATCATTTCACTTATTCCCAGCTTCAGAGAGTCAAAAACACCGATGTTTACCAAAGGGATATGATCTAGTTACACACCATATATATATATATGATCCAATTATATATAATACTAGCGGATGTACCCGGCTTCGCCCGAGGTTTTACCCGAGTAAAGGTTTGTCTAACGAACATTTGTTAAAACAATTCTCTATAAACTTATTTAAAAAAAGATATATTTTGATAATTTGAAACTCGTAAATTTGAATCTCTCGATAAAGTGAACATTTTTTCCCGGTCCCTGTGTGCCGTGTCATCCTGAATTTTGTCTTTCCTAATTTTCTACATTACAAAATCATCGTTTTATCTAGTGAACATATTTTCCCGGTCCCTTGAAAAATACTCGATAAGTTGAATAAAATCATGGTCGTGAATCTCTCGATAAAGTGATCATTTTTTCCCGGTCCCTGTGTGCCGTGTCATCCTGAATTTTGTCTTTTCTAATTTTCTACATTACAAAATCATCGTTTTATCTAGTGAACATATTTTCTTGGTCCCTTGAAAAATACCCGATAAGTTGAATAAAATCATGGTCGTTTATGGAAGATGGACGTAGTTCCCGGAGGTCACCCGCGAGGCTTTTTTCTTGTCTACTTTTCACAGCTGTGTCACCAACTCTGCCCCCGCGCGCCAGGACCTCTTGATCCCTCTGATTGGTCGGTGGGAACTTGGACTGTCCAACAACCGGCCGGCGGCCGGACGGGGGGGGGGGGATTCCGGGGATTCCGGGGATCCCTCTGATTGGTCGGTGGGAACTTTGGCCGGCGGCCGGACTACATTTTCTCGGTGGGGGGGGGGGGGGGGCAGACCTAAGCCTATCTCCGTCGCAAGGTGGCGCTGCTTGCGAGTTAAAGCTACAAATCTGCAAATAACTCTAAGGATATTTAAGATATTCAAGAAATTATTTTTCGTAAACCTTTCCGGGGATACACCTAATAATATCCCAAAATTTCACGGCGATTGGATGTATGGTTTTTGAATCCATAGAGGACACACACACACACAGACAGACAGACATTCAATTTTATATATATATATTTTATATAAATGGATAGTATTTACTCTTTTTTATTCAATACTAACAATTGAACAATTAACTTTTCCAAAACTCTATCAAAACGTATTCGGTGATTTTTAAAGAAAGCCGATCGTAGAATCAGAAGTAAAATCTAAGATGAAATTTTTACCATAAATGATCGATAAAAAGATCAGTATAACATACAATAACTGCAACGTAAATAATCTGGGAGAAATGATCAAAACTCAACATATTACATACAAGATAAACAACTGATGATGAGGAGGAAACTAAATTCAGTAACTTGGATTTCTCAATATTCTGAGCAAGTTTGATAAAAGAGGACGCCTTCGCTGCGAAGATCTGACTAATGGCAAGATGAAACAGAGCAGCGACGTCGGTCAAAGACCGCCATGCAAATGTGAAAAGGCGCCACTGTGGCAGCAATATCTGACCATTGAAAAAATCACGATACCTCTATGAAAAAAATGGTATCATGGCTGCAATATCTGGTCATTGGCGCAGGCCAAGCTATTGATAAAAACCGCGAGACCATTGTGAAAAGTCGTGCATATTGGCTGCAACATCAATGGCAAGGTATGCAAATAAAATTGAAAGTAAGTGGTGCTTTGGTTACAAAATTTAAGGTAAGAACATCCATACTACCCAATATTTAACGGCTGTTTATATCATCTGAGCTAGATAGGTAGGAATAGGACTTTTGTTCTAGCATTTAGCCGGACATACTGGACGGCCATCTTGGCTGGCTCTACCAGAGTACAAAACATACAAGTCATTGTACATTCCCTTCCAGGGTCATTCCCTCTGGTAGCTGCCTGGATTAGGGAAAAGTATATAAAATGAGCTGCTAATAATTTCATCTTCGAAAACAAAGTTCTGCAATTGTTGTAACAGTCCGGTAGATCAAATTGATGAAGCTGCCAGGTGTATTCACCATTGATGAGCTAACACTCCCAATATTTTCGTTTTTGCCTAACGGTTGTAGAAAAATCTGTATTTTAAAATTAATAAAATTAAAAATACACTGATAGTGAAGCTTATTTCACATTTCTACAATTACTAATGTATGAAATTTGTTTATATAATTATAGTTAAATCAATAGATGAAAAAGTTAAACTTCGCCTTTTCCTGTCCCAAGCCCGAATGAAAAATGAGGAGGGGGAGCAGTAACAAGCTTGCTAAAAAAAACTTGGGTTCAGCTGGCCCAGCTGATAGTACCCTGTAAGGGCTCCTGATCCAGGGATACAAGAGCAGCGTCTGTACTCCATGCTAACATGGCTGCACATGGCATCTGTTCCTGGTGTCAAAGGCAACCATTTCTTTTGGAGCCAAGTTGGCCTGCCACTGAGTAGTGCTTCCAGTCTTAATGACAAAGGCAGATGCATTCTACTTCACCCAGAGTCTCAATATCTACAAGCTTGATACCCTAATATGATTGAGTGGAGATAAGAAAGAAGGAGAAAGAGAAGATGAAAAAGTTAGCAGATGTAAAAATACATCTTGTGTTTTAGTCAGCGGTATTTAGTTTTATTTTTGCTAACTGAAGTGTTGGTCATTGCCCTTGATTTTAATAAGGTTTATAAAAGTGGATGAATGAAACTACAGTTATAGATCAATTGTCGACAAGTTTGATTCACTTCACTCCTCCTCCTGAGATGAAATGTTTGACAATTCTCAGATTGAATATTCATCTAGATGCTCCAATGGCCCCCGATTCTTGCAAAAGTCCAACCCCACCAGTGAGTGCAAGTAACCAAACGGGGCCCTGGCACATTTGTAAGTGCAATGTCGAACTACTTTTCACATGTGTAAATATGTGGGGCACTTACAGTAAAAGCAGTCGCCTACTTCTACCCACCATGATTATCATGGCCTGTACCACGTGTACTTGGGATAAGCAAAAATATATATATTCATCTAGATGCTGTGTGTTCATGATAATAATCATATTTTTCCCAATATTTATGATCATAGAGTGAATAAATCACCAAATTATTCTCTCTCTTTACCTCAATCTATTCTCATATATTTAAATTTCAATTGCCATCTATCGTTTAAATTTGGAATAAATATTTTCAACTCTATACTCAATAAATGTACAACTTGGCTGAATATTGCGTTAGCTGACCTAAGCTCTAAAAAAAATTTCGATTCTATTAAAGCTGCGAGTGATATTCGAAATAAGTTAATGAATCTGGTGGCTTCTACTGAACAACTGGATGAATGAATTAATTAAGTAACCCCTAAGACTTTATATCCTGACTATAGACAATCCTCTACCTTTGATCCATCTATATATAAAACTGTATAGATGTCTGATAATTATGTATAATACATTGTTGTATATTCCTTTTTCACTTGTACTAATC